ACATTACGTGTCATCAGTCCAAATGATCTAACTACATTATTAATATCGACGAGAAAATATTTCGTATTCGCGTCCATTCATAACAGAAATAATTCTGTTCATCTCGTATTAGCACAAATAGAAGAAGCTGAAATTACAATTTCATGATCTGGTTGAGTCAACATAAGTGAAAATTGATTTTCAAGTTAAATTAACATATCAGCACGGCTATTTTTCCTATACAGCAACAAATTAATCACAAAGGAAGGAAATACAATTTGGCGTTTCCTATATTAATTTATTACTCAATAGAAACGCACCTAAGAAACCCACCAATTGTAGTGGAAACGTTCACTATCGTTTATGAATTTCAATACTGCAACGCAGAGATTTGACAGATAATCCTTTTCCAGAGATAAAATCGCCGATATAATCGCAAAATATTTTTTGCACAAGTACTTGAAAATACTTGGAAACAGTATAAAGAAAACATCTGATCTGAAAATGTTCAGTGTACACCTCTGAACATTTTTTCTCTAGGATGAACATTTCAGCTATTTTCTTTATACTATTTCAAAAGTATTTTCTGAGTAGGTCTGCTGGTTGAAAACACTAGGCATGAAACATCGTGTTGAGGATGAATCCTGTACTCATTATAGAGACACGCTTTTAAGAAGTGAGGTATGTGGTCTTGCAGAGCTCAAAATTTAATTAATCAGAAAATCCGCTTTTTCCTCTTGGGCTATTGACCGTTTCGTCTCTATTGTCTTACCAAAAGGTGTCACGAGCTAGTTTTAGTCTCTTTTCTCGGAAAACTGAATGATAGATTACATTTTATTGATTGTTTTTGTGCTATTGTTCTCTTCAACGATAATGTAGAGCTTTTGCATCGTACTCGTCTCCTTTCCTCACTTTTCTTCCTAAACTAAACTTTCAAGTGAAATGATAGTGGTGATCGCCTCCTTCTTTTCATTTTTCGTATATATAGATTAATTCGTGAAGATGACTCACTCTCGCATTCTCTCGCATGTTGATTGAATACCTCTCAATCTTTCTTCTTCCTTCTAGTGTTAGATGTAGCCTTCTGACATTGCTATTCTAGAATACGAATCGAATCAGCTGATTACTAATCGTACATCAACAATAATTTTACCACTAATAATTGCATTAAGTGGAGATCCATGGTTATGAACACCCTCCCGTACAATGGCTTTCAAACCTCAAGCGAAACAAGTTTAAGTCATTGTTTTCGGATCATAAGCATTTCCTTTCCTCAACAATGCGATTCAAGCCTTCTAATGATTCTCTTTGGCCGGGATAAAATCTAGATAAGAGCAGCTCCATCTCACCCTTATCCGCAAATGTGCTCTTTAGATGGATTGACTATGTATCAGTATATCCACTTTAAGGAATCTTGTAGTCATAGAAATTTATACCTTCTGTATCTCCTTCATTTTTATAGCAGAACTTTGACCAGATATAATAAGACTTGAACGATTTACCACAAAATCAAAAGAAATTAGTTTATTTAATCACCGACATGTCCTATTAACTTTCTGGTAATTTCTGAGAACTCCTCACCCTTTCCGCCATAAAGTAATTACAGTTATTATAATACATATTAGTGAGAATCTTATAGTTCATAAGGAAGAGACGCTAAAAGAGATAGATTTTCCACTTCAATCTTTTTGTCTCGTTTTTCACAAGCTTAGAAAAACTAGAAGTATGAAGCATGTATAAAACTAAACAAAGCTTAACAATTGTTTACTTTTCTTTGAAAACTCAAACGATAATCAACGATTAAACTGGTGTTTTTTAATTAATCTAATATAAATATCTTCATCTCGACCTTGTCGTAAGAAATCATTAAGAGTGTAATTAATATAACCATTTTTACGTGTAATTGCTAAGATTTCAGTTAATTTATCGATTTGAGCAGCTCCATAGATCTAGAAAGAGAAGTAAATATATCTGTGTGACATGTATTTTGAAATATTATTACATGCAAAAAAGAACTATATCATGCGAAGGTTTAGAGTGGAATTGACAGTTCTAACATCTCGTAATTCGTTCACAATTCGTCAACTATTGAAAATATCAATAAATCTGTTTTGTTATCTTAGCTATTATTCCTTACACTTACCGGTATTAAGTCACCAAATTTAATTTGAATTCCATAATCACCTTGGTGTCCATTATCTTTAATTAGTTGATGGATATGTTTCATTTCGTCCAATGCATTATAATCAGTTTCTTGTTGACTTGAAGTAGAAAAAACAACTTGATTATTTTAGGAGTCAGAAAAGTCAATTTCTAACATTTACTTATGTACAGAGTTGATCGATGGTGGCGATGGTGTCCGTCCTCGATTAACTTTCTCTTGAAGTTTGTTAAGACATCCAGGTAAGTAACTAAGTAGTTCTGGAGTTTTATTGTACATTTGTTTGTTGTTTTCCATTGTGTTGTCTTTGTTAGAAGAAGCCATCTTGTCTTAATGTATAATAAGGATAACGGTTGTCTTATGTAACGCTAGTTATAGATGATATAAATGGTATCGGCAAACGAAGAGAAAGAAAATACATACGTACAGACGTACAGTTGTTGTTACTTAAAGAGACATCTATGACTCATCATAGAAAGAAAGAAGAAAAGAAACTGGCAACCAGTTCTCGCTTTCCTTTTTTAGAAGCATATAATAATCGTGTACTGTTATCTCTTTTTTTCCTCTTGTTCTGTTTTCGGATATCTAACAAAGTAGATATCACTTGTTTAGAATGTAGAAGAATGATTTAACAAAAATATATCCTCCCCATATAAATATTTTTAACTTAAAACATGTCTAAATCGCTTAATAATACTTTAGCTCTAAACCGCTTTTTAGGACATAGTTTAGCCATATTTTAGAAGTTGTTGATAAAAATGAATTTCATCTTTAATAAGAATATCGAATGTTTACAAGATATTTATAGGATTCAACTAATAAAGAACAGAAAATGATATCATTTCTTTCTTCCGATTACATTATAGATAAACAGTTAATGTTACTGTTACGAACAGACGATGCTAGTCTTTCTTCCTTAAAAAACATTCATGTATGCAGTATTTCTTGTGGTTAACCATTATCGCAAAATCGACTTTTTATACACTGAACAGAATCTATCCAAATTTTGTTTCTGAAAAACGCGCCAAAATGCGAAAAGTGATTTGAATAAAGAGATACTTTGTTGCCTGTGCATTCATTCAGCAAGCTATTCAGAAGAAAAATCTGGACAGATTCTGTTCAGCGTATAAAAAGTCGATTTTATGATAATGTTGTTAGTGAAAAAATCTAGTCTCTTTATGCGTAATGTTTAGTTTCATTATACTAGAGTATTTGTTTCTTTTAAAATCTTTCTCTATCCCTATTTCTGCTTTTACCACGAACATTGAACGATATTAAATCACTATCAAGTAGTAAAGGTCGACCAATGACTTGCGATGATGGTTATATGTATACATTCTGCAGAATGATAGATGAAAAAATGATTTTTCGTTTTGAAGATCGTGACTGTAACGGTAAATGTCAAGTTGAACTGTATCTTGAAATGCTTATTAATAGCTTAGCACCTTTGATTTCCCAGCTCGGTGCCGTACACATTTAAAAATGAATATATTTGTACAACAACCCAAAAAAACTCGGTCTGCAAAAATTTTTGCAGAATCTGTAAAGATTCTGCAATCTGCAGTTTTTCTGCAATGCAGATGTGCCAAGATTTGGCCAAAGATCTGATGCAGATCTGCAATAAAATC